CTTAAAAACTCCTAACCTCAGGACCAATTCCAATTCTGTCCCAAACTTTTTTGTGCAAAAAAAATCACAAATTTTCTCTATACTCCCAAATCTGCCCCTGTATCCAAAAAGCATCACTAATTTTTTCAAAATTATCAACATCAAAGCTAGTTAGAGGTTCATTATCAGAATCTGCGGCTTCACCAATACCCTCATATTCGTATGGAATAACAACAATCTCCCGACATTAATAATTTTGAAGAAACCAGTGGCGATTTTTGGACGCGGGGCAGATTTGAGACTAAAGTTAAAGTTGTTGATTTTTTTGGAGACAAAAGAAAAGTTTGGAATAGATTTGGAATTGAACCTAAAATTGACAGTTTTTTTAGGGAATTAGGCCTTTGGGCACGAATAATAAACATTATGTTTTCTTATTTTTCTGTTCCCGAGAACAGGCTTGGAATAGAAATCCGTTTGGCAACGCAATTTCTTTTTTATATTTCCATGACAAATTTTTACCTAGAAATAGGTTTGGCAAAAACGAGAAGTAGATTTTTTTACTTTTTTTTTTTTCTGGATCAGAAACAGAAATAACAACTCTTCTAATCTCTCACCCTAGCCGCCCACTGCCACCCCCCACCGTCGCCAGCCGCCGCCGGCCACCCACTCGCCGTCGACTACTGATCGTTCACTGCGTGTGGAGAATAGAAATTTAAGAATAACTTATCAAACGAATTTCTATTCCAGGAATATAAATTTTGTGTCGATATCAAATGCTACTTTCTAGCTCAGAAACTCGCCTAGGAAATTTAAATAAAAAAATTTATTTCTAGCTAGAAAGTGAGGCGAGAAAGATAATGATTTTCATTTGCGCCTTAAATATGACAACTAGGGTTTTTCAGCGAGTTAAAACGTTTGGAAATCCTTGAGGGAGAACTATTAAAAAGTTTTTAGGCCTTCAATAACCAAATGAAATGTCATAGGTTTTTACGTGAATTTTGTATAATAATTAGCATGATAAATCAAATTATACTTGTAGAATATTTGGCACATAAATGAATTATTATTTTCTAGCTCAGTGTCTATCAAAAATTGGTTTTATTTTACAATCAAGAACAACAAGGAAATATGTCTCCCTTATTTGGTATTTTATGACCAAGTTGAGGCAATAGGGTACATTTATATATTTATATTATAAATGTCTTGGAAGAGGTAGAAAACATTTTACATGCAATTACTAAAAAACTTGGTATGAATCATGTAGCAAACTCTATAGGCAAGTTGCAAAGAAAAAATTTCAATTGATGCTTTTAACAAGAGTTGAAAATTTATGTGTTCACCGTTGTACTTTGGCGAAATACCCGTTTCTTATTTATTTTTAAACGGTTGGTGCTAATTTGACCTAAGGCTACAGGTGTCGACATCTTAGTTTTTTCCCAAAGGTTATTCTCGCATATTTTCAACATCTTTGTTTGGGATAACATGATGCCATATTGCTTAATCAGATCAGCAAACTGCTTGGGCAGCTTACATTGAGACTCCTCATTAGGACTGTAGAGGAGGATGTCATTGATGTACATTAGGGCATTGACAATAATAGGCCGGAATCTCTTGCACGTAGTCTTTTAGAACAATGATAGGGCAATCTTCAGATTTAAAGGAAGGACTATGCTTTGTGATTGTGATGGCTTACTTGCTAATTGAGTTTTAATCACCATGGGAATTTAGTAATGAAGTTGCTCTTATAGCATCACACTAGTTTTAAAAGAAGGAAAATGCTTTTAATCTTTGGTTCTACGAGTACATATTATGGAGTGACAATAATATCAGTGGACCGCTTGTGTGGCATGCGATAAGAAATTCTCATTACCTTAATAATGTTAGAAAATATAAAGAGAAAGTTATCTCGTTAGACCTTCCAATTTTTTTGTGTGATAAATAAGTTACGAGATAATTAGCAATTTAGGGGGACGGTCGTCTAGTGGATGGCTTAGAATTGGGGAAAATTACCAAAAAAGTCCTAAACCTTTTGTAATTGTGCCAATTCAGTCCTAAACCTTTTTTTTTTTGGCCATTTCAGTCCTAAACTTTTTGTAATTGTACCAATTCAGTTCTAAACTTTTTTTTTGCCATTTCAGTCCTTAACCTTTTTGCAATTGTGCCAATTCAGTCCTAAACCCTTTTTTTTTTGCCATTTCAGTCCTAAACCTATTGCAATTGTGCCAATTCAGTCCATTCAGCCATTTTTGGCCTGCCGGCGCTGACGTGGACGCCGGCCGGCTGAAGTGGCATTATTTTAATTTTTTTTTTCCTTTCTCTTTTTTTTTTCTTTCCTTCTTCCCCCTGGCCAGCCATGGCGAGGCCAAACCTCGCCGGCCATGGGCAAGGTCGAGCTTGCCCAGCGACGGCGAGGCCTCGCCCAGCTCTGGCGAGACCTCGCCCATGGCTGGCGAGGTCTTGCCAGATCTGGGCGAGGCCTCGCCGTCGCTGGGGGGGTCGAGCTCACCCAGCGACGGCAAGGCCTCACCTAGATCTGGCAAGACCTCGCCGTCACCGGGCAAGGTCGAGCTCGCCCAGCGACGGCGAGGTCTCGCCAGATTTGGGCGAGGCCTCATGTGGCATCCCGAATTTTCATGACCAAAGATTAACGGACCCTAATGGATTAAGACTCTCGTCGACGGGAATTAGGAGCAATAAAAAAATTGGAAGTTTAACATCGCTGATATCGTTTTTGGAATCACGAATTCGGATTCTAGAGATTGTTATCGTTGGGCCAACTAAACCGACACCGCGTCGTTCGCACGACCCGACTCCGTGCAAACTCGTCGCCGTTATTTTTCCCTTACTCACCGCCGTCCCCCTCTCTCTTTCTTTTCTTCTTTTCTTCCGTTTCTTTCCCTTTTCCCTCTTTTTTCTTTTCGCCGAGAAACCCACGCAGCGGCAGCCCCTTCCTCTTCCTTTCTTTGTCTTCTCTTCTTTGTCTTCTTTCTCCCCCTGCACTTGGCAGGAGAGAGGTGCCACTTGGCCCCCTTGCATGCCCATGCACGCAAGGGAGCTGAACAAACTTCAGATAATCTCTTTTTCCCCCTCATCTCACTCATTTCCAGCTCACTTTCTCTCGCCCAGCTCACTCTCACTCTCTCTTGTTTCCCTCACTGGCCGCCTGGAAGACAGCCCCTCCACCGACCAACAGCTACCGCCCTCTACTCTGTCCACGACCAGCAGCGGTAGCCGGCCGTTTCGTCTCCGCCTCGGACCAGCAGCTTCGCCTCAGCCATCTCAGCCATTTCCTCTCACCGGCAAGTACTCTCTATCACCTTATACTAACCACGTTAATGGTTGCATGTCGGTTTGGGTCTTGGATGAGGCGTTAAGGTGGCTGGAAGGGCGAAAGGAGAGGGCGATCTGTGGTATAGTTTCTGTTTTTGTGTATCTAAACCCCCTAGAACGGTTTGTGGCGGATCTAGATAGCTAGATTAAGTTGCGAAAGATGTTGCATGTTATTTTAAAATCTTTAGTTGATGTTTTCGTGGCTGGGAAGTGGCGGATCTGAACCTGGAAAAAACGTTTCTTGAAGTTGTGTCGCGGAATCCAGATCTGACTTTTCTGAACGTTCCCTGCTTTCTATTTTTGTAACGCCTTTTGTGGTCAGAATCTCGCGAAGTGATCCTCATAAAAGTTGTTCAGAAGATCTTGATTTATAACATACTTAAATTTCAGATTTTTCTGAGTGCAAATGGGTCATACGAAGGTCCGAATTCATACCGAATCGGAACTGTTCTTACCGCTAAATCTGGGACCTTCGTGCCTTCTCCAATTTTTATAAAATTTTCCACTCCGAATTTGGTCACACTTCCTTCTTAAGATTTGTTAAGCGAACCTTTTATACTACATATAAAAATTTCATAGTATTTTAAAATATTTTTATTGGCGAAACCAACATTCTTCGTGACTCAGTTTTCCTGTTTCAACGGACTAATTTTGGGCCATCTTCGAGCTATTAAAAGTGGTCTTTAACTAAGGAATTTGGCGTTGTGTTCTTCATGAAAAATAGTTATTAAGCTCTTTTATATGACATACTTAAATTTCATAATTTTTCGAGGTCATTTACTATATTATTGGTTTCGGTTTCTCAAAGTGCTCAAAACTGTCCGATTTCACCCATTGTTAGAAATCTCGAATTTTCTATTGGAAAACGATGGATATTTGATCTCTGGTCTACTGGAGACAGTAACCGCGCTTAATTAGCTTTTCAACTATGCTTATTTGGCCTTGATCCGATGTCGAATGCTTATGTAAATCGAGTGATCTTTGAGAGCACAGAATCTGAAATTTTGGTTGTGAACAGTTTGTGGGCAATAATGAAGATGTGGTATTTTGTTGTGGATGTGTCCACTGATCGAGAAATGTTTAATTTGATTGTGTTTTGTCTTCCGCTTGTGCTAAAAGTGAAAAGATTAAGAACGCATTAGTAAGTGGCGTGTCTAGGATGCCACACCTCACCATGGCCGGGCGAGGTCGACCTTGCCCATGGCCGGTGAGGTCACCTCACCGACAAGCCTCCCCCTGGCCAGTCCGGCCAGGGGGAAGAAGGAAAGGAAAAAAAAAAGAGAGAAAGGAAAAAAAAATTAAAATAATGCCACGTCAGCCGGCCGGCACCGGCCGGCGTCCACGTCAGCGCTAGCTGGCCAAAAGTGGCCGAATGGACTGAATCGGCGCAATTGCAAAAGGTTTAGGACTTTTTTGGTAATTTTCCCCTTAGAATTGCTTGATTGGCATTAACTTTAATAACTTGCTGGTTAATGCTAATAAAGATGGATACGTTTAAACGTATAGTCAATGCTTTATATGTAAAGAAACATATAAGAATCTGTTTCTTATTTACAGAAACAAATCCACAACATGATGTTATTAAGAAGGTATTCATGAGATGCCTTTCTTAACGAAACAACTATGATTCCATCATGAGTAGCCTGACTTATATATACGCTGATATTACGTGCATGGTGGAACAAACAGATCAAAAGCATATCTCCAAAGCAAAACCATTAACCTTTTATCCCTGCAAAAGCCCTTTTGACTTGGGAGCAATGGTGAAACCATCATCCACATCCGTTATGCTGCTCATGTTTTTGCTAGTTGCCATCGGTGATCTCTCTCTCTCTCTCTCTCTCTCTCTCTGTGCATGAGAATAAGGAAGCTGTTGACAATGGAGTGATGTGATTTGGCAGGTGTGCAAGTAAGCGTTGGATGCGTTTATCACAGAGATTGCGGGCCACCAGGTTGTTGCGTGTGTAATTTATTCAAATGTCTATGCACATGCCCACAAGGGCAGAATTTCGTAGGAGACCTCGAGGGAAAAGGAAATGGCGCAAGAAAATTCTTGAAGGGAAATGGAAATCCATAAGTCTTTTATGATATCAAAATAAATTATCAAAATAAAAGTTTTACCAGTTGTTGCATTTGTAGAATAACAATAAGCTAAAGATCTCTCTCTCTCTCTCTCTCTCTCTCTCTCTCTCACCATGTGCGTGTCGGAAAGAGAGAGTTAAAAGACGGCATGTATCGATCAAAAAAGAATCGAGTTGAACTGGTGTCCAAACACGACTTATGTAAATTATTTTCGCAAATTAAAAGAGGTTCTCAAGTGATTCTTTTCTCCTGCAAGATTTAATCCGAAAATTGCCTCACTGTTTTTTTTTTTCCCTCTAGCCGTGAACAATTCATTTGACAATAACAATATGGGGTTGTCGGAAGGAAGATAAATATATAAAGGGTAGTATTATCCAGAAAGATAATATATAGTCAAAAAACACATATTCAAAATCTACATATAATCGATTCTCCAATAATATGATGATGTCACACCATATAAACTATATACATTGGCATAGATGATTGTTGAAGAATTGCACCTGCTATCTTCTCTGATGAATACCTAAACATCTATATACTTTGTAGAAAAATATTTTAAGAAGGATGTAAAAATATCTAGTGATTATTTCCGTAGATATACCTAGAGAGAAAAATATCTAGGATAATCGTCTTGTTAGAAATATCTTGTTAGAAATATCTAGGAAGATATTTATCTAGAAGACTCCATTTGTTTGGGGAAAAATAAATGATTTGAAAAATATGAATTAACAATGTTGAAGGAATGGGCTATACGATTAACTATAGAGGTCCCGAAGGTTATTGCAGAGGATAACAACGTTGTCCTTACCAATTCAAAGGGCAAAGCTATCTACTCATAGTTTTGTTAACACTTTTAACAAAATAATAAGGTTTTGTTTCTTTTTTATTCCTTTTTTAGGTTAAGGTTAAAATTATTATGGTCGTTGCTTAAATTATGGTTTGGAGCTTTTTTTAATTGTTTAATTAGTCCCCGTAAGCAAATTTAACAAAAGAATGTCACCCAGAGACAAATTTAACAGCTAAATATGACAACCAGGGCCTGCCAGAAAGTCAATGTAAAGTTCCCGATCTTAATTTGCTTACCTAATCAGATAAAGGTCTTAGGTTTGAAGTGAAATCTGTTAATTACTAGCATGATCAATCTACACGTTGCTGCGGAAATTAAATTATCATTATAAGATCTTTGGCACATCAAAGAGTTATTTTCTATTCAGCGTATATCAAAAATTGAATTTATTTTTATTATTACTTCAAAATAAATGTCCATGTCATTTGGTATTTTGATTGCAATATTCAATGTATGAACTCAAGAACCATAGGTGAATTATCTCGATCTCACCTTGGATTTGGCAATTAGAATCTTTTCAAACTGTTTCAGGAGTTCCGGTGGCGACATGTGGTCTATCTCAGCTCTTAATATGGCCATTGGAGCCTTAACTCCTGCAAAATTGCATATAACTCTTAAGGTGCAAAACCGATGAAGCTGATAAGTTGCAGTGATGCCTTTCTAACATAGGCTCATCAGATCATGCAATAGTTTTCCTGGAAATGCGTCGAGGTAAATAAAGCATCACATCTTTAATATCTTGTGGGCTGTGTAAATGTTTATTTCAAGAGTTTACAAAGAGCGGAGAAAATTGTCACCATCTGTATAGTCATATAACGTGTAATCTGTATGTTCCAACTTTCTAAGCCATTAAGAGATGGTTTTTCTTGGTTATGCAAGCCATATGCAATATATTCAAGTGCATAACAATAAAAATGTGCATCGGTAGGTTCCTACGGCTACTTTAAGAGATTCTTGGCATTGAAAATATGCAAACCAAGTGCCTAATAAAATACCAAAAATGAAGATGATCATACCCTTAATGTCATCCACAGAGACAAACGATGGATGTAAACATAGCGGCTTCGATGGCCCGTCTTTGCCAGCTCAACCACAACCTTAGCTGAAGAAACAAAGTTCCCACAAGCATTGCACGATAGTACGAGCTTGTCAATCATATCCAAGACATGAAAAAGAGATCTTTTAAAGAATCATCCTAAAAAAAGCCAACAGAGAGAGAAAAATTTAGCCGCATGAGTCTGAGTCTCAGGAATCAGCGGAGGAATTGATGAATTTGATCAATGGAGTACCAATTATTGCCAGATACCCATTTTGAAAGGCTCGTATTTTATTTTTATGTAAGGAAAGAGTTTGAAGCAAAGACCTTGAGAAATGGCTCGAATCAACCATGGTTGGATTGGTGGTCTGAGCTTTCTTCCGATTACATATCGCCGCTTAGTCGCACACCATCGCCAGTCACACGCTACCAGTACCCACTGGCCCTCACTCGAGCAACACTTTTAGAATCCCTTCGTCCATCTTATTATTGAATTGGGGGCGAAGGCTTTGTATGAATCATAAGGATGAGGTTTTTCTTTTAGTTTTGTTCAAAATCCCTCGCCCTTCGCATGCCACTGGTTGCACACCACCACCTGGTCACACGCCGCCAGTGCCCACCGATCCTCCCTCAGGCAGTTCTCTGTTCAGCTCTCAACCTTTGTTCACAAAGTAGGTTAGGGAAAAGAAAGAATGAATGTTGGGATTTTTTGGCTTTTCTTTTTATTTAAAATTTTATGGATGAAAATACCCTTCTCCGACTAACAGAAAAGTCACATGTTTATCGGTTGGTAAGCAGTTGACCAGCCAACGAACTCATACCCGTATTTGAGATTGATTTGGGCACTTCAAGTCCTTACTTGATACAATGTCAACTCTGGGCCCTTTTTTGAGAAAATGTGTCCACTTTAGACCTTTATTTGGAATTTTCCTTAGATTTATTAACGAGTAACATTCCAATCAAGTATTTTAACTTCGCCGTGACAATTGACATGATAAAAACATGTGAAAGTGCTTGGGAAAATTGTCCAAAAAGTCTTAAACCTATATTATAGCGCCCAATTCAGTCCTCAATTTTCAATTGCACCAAATTAGCCTTCCACATTTTTACGATTTGCCAATTTAGTTTTTTCGGCCAACGTTGGTCAGAAATCACTAACGTGGATGCTAAGTGTCCTACATGGCAAAAGTGGCATGGTTGGCATTGACGTAGACAATTTTTTACATTTTTTGACTTTTCTAAATTTTATAAGAACTTTGAAATTTTTTATTTTTATTTTTTACTTCTTCCTTCGCTGATTGCCAGGCCTCTATGATGGCTAGTGAGGCTAAGGAAGGCTCAAACCTTGCCCGCTCACCCTCGCTTATGGCAGGTTATCAATCATCGCCAACGTCCGATGACTGGGAAAAAAACAAGAAAGAAAAGAGAAAAAAGAAAAAAAAAGGAAAGTTCAAAAAATTTATAAAAAATCAGAACAAATTTAAAAAATGCAAACGATTATTAAGGTCAGTGTTGGCCGTGCCATGTAAGACAACTAGCACTAACTAAACCACCACTATAGTTTGGCAAAATACTAGTTTCTTATTTATTTTAAAACCATCGGAGCTAATTTGACCTAAGGGTACAAGTGTTGACATCTGAGTTTTTGCTTAAAGATTATTCTCGCGTATTTTCAACATCTTTTTAAGGGATAACATGTTGTCGTATTGCTTATTAGATCAGCAATATTCTTGTGTATTGCTTGAGGAGCTCATAGTGAGATTTCTCATCAAGATTGTAGAGGAGAATGTTATCGATGTATATATGGGCATTGACAATAATGGGCTCGAATATCTTGTGCATAGCCTTCTAGAACGATGATAATGCAATCTTTAGATCAAATGGAAGGACCAATTATGCCTTGTGATTGTGATGGCTTACCTGCTAGTTGAGTTTTAATCACCACGGAAATTCAGTAATGAAGTTGCTCTTACAAGATCATACTAGTTTTTAAAGAAGGAAAATGCTTTCAATTTTTGATTTTACGAGGATTCTATATTATGGAGTAAGAATAATATCAGTGGACCCAGTGGACCCCTAGTCTGGCATGCAATAATAAGTTTTCATTAACTTAAGAACGTTCGAACATAAAAAAGGAAAGATATCTCGTCATACCTTCCAATTCACTTGTGTAATAGATAAGATTTGAAATAATTGGTAAATCTGGGTGCACGATCCCCGTGGATGGCTTAAATATTGCTGGATTGGCACTAACTTTAATAACTTGCCAGCTAATGCTAATGAAGTTACGTAAGTTTAGATGTAAAGTAAGTAAGAAATATACGAGGCAATTGCAAATTCATATATATGGAAAGACAATAGCTGGCTTCCTCTTTAGACTAGCTAGATGAAAAACATTAACGTCTATGATTCCATCACGAGTGGCCTGACTTATATATACGCTGATGTTACGTGCATAATGGAGCAAACAGATCACGAAAGCATATTTCCTAGGCAAAACCATTAACCTGTTGTCCCTGCAAAAGCCCTTTTTGACTTGGGAGCAATGGTGAAACCATCATCCACATCCATTATGCTGCTCATGATTTTGTTACTTGCCATTGGTGATCTCTCTCTCTCTCTCTCTCTCTCTGCGCATGAGAATAAGGAAGATGTTGACAATGGATTGATGTGATTTGGCAGGTTTGCCAGTAAGCGTGGGAAAACCAATTGTTTTTTGCCTTAGGCCCGCAGATTGCCCGGGGCCACGAGACTGTTGCACGTGTCGTGTCTTACATTGTGAGTGCAAATGCCTACAAGGAGAGAGTTTCAAAGGAGACATCGAGGGAAAAGGAAATGCCGCAAGAAAATTCTTGAAGGGAAATGGAAATCCTTAAATCTTTTGTGATATCAAAATAAATTTTTACCAGTTGTTGCATTTGAAGAATAACAATAAGCTCTCTCTCTATGCATGTGTGAAACAGCGGGTTAAAATGTATCAATCGAAAAAGAAGGTAGTCGGGACTTGTGTCCAAACACAATTATGTAAATCATTTTCGCAAAATTAAAAGAGGTCCCCGACCGGAGCTTTTCTATTGCAAGGTTTTATCGGAAACTAGCTTCTTTGTTATTTTTTTTTCCTCCAGCTGTGAACTATTCATTTCACAATAACAACACGGGATTGTCGGGAGGAAGATAAATTTCATCTA